ATCCTTTGCTGTGAGTCTTCTTGGGCATGGCCTTTGTCTGCACAAGTCATACCGCTGGATACTCGATGTTGTGTGTTCCAACTGGATTGATCTGCAGAGAGCCCATCTAAATTCAGTTCCTGAAGAGGAAGCAGCTTCTACAAATAAAATTAACTCTTTTGGTGTAAACACCAAATTAATGGCACGTAGGAGGGGAAGAGAGGGCTTTGAATAGCTTTGTTTAACCAAACTGCAGACTTGAATAAGCTTGTGTCTGTCTCCCTCTCTTAAAATACGGTCATAGAGCTTTATTCTTTTCTGATCTTGGGTTTGGTAGTCATGTTTTTCTTTTGAGCTCTGTCATCAGGGCTTGAAACGAACTGTGCCTCCAGGGTCTCTTAAGTGTTGATTGTGAAACTTAGGAGGTGTAAAGATAACTCTTTCAACTTTTTGGCTGGGTTACCTGTGAAATCTGCTCTTAAAGCCATCAAAATCTGTACACACAGTAAACAGTGGTATGATTTGGTGAAAAGAGTATACATAAGTTTTTAGAACTGGCTCCAAAGATGGTGTGTTTAAAATGTAGGTGAGGTGTCATTCTATCTCATCTACTGAACAGGTATAAGACGCATGTGTTGAATGTATGATTCTGTTCAGTAGTATGGTTGAAACTCTTCCCAATCTTTTTGAGGGGAAAATAATCTTAATCCAGCGCATTTCTTTCCTGTTATTTTGATATTTTTTGCTCTCAGGGTAGTCTTTACGGTCCATTGTATTGTTCGATTTTTCCCAGAGGCTGGTGCATGATAAGGGATGTGATATACCCACCGAATGCCATGCTCTTTGGTCCAGGTGTCCATGAGGTTGTTTCGGAAATGAGTCCCATTGTCTGACTCTACTCATTCTGGGGTGCCACATCGCCATAGGACTTGCTTTTCAAGGCCCAGGATGGTGTTCCGGGTGGTGGCATAGGGCATGGGATGTGTTTCCAGCCATTCGGTGGTTGCTTCCACCATGGTGAGTACATACTGCTTGCCTTGGCAGGCTTGTGGGAGTGTGATACAATCAATCTGCCAGGCCTCCCCATATTTATATTTCAGCCGTTGTTCACTATACCAGAGAGGCTTTAGCCGCTTGGTTTGCTTCATTTCAGTGCAGGTTTCACATTCATGAATAACCTGTGCAATACTGTCCATAGTTAAGTCCACCCCTCGATCACGAGCCCATCTATATGTTGCATCCCTTCCTTGATGGCCTGAGGCGTCATGGGCCCACCGAGCTATAAATAATTCACCCTTATGTTGCCAGTCCAGATACACCTGAGCCACTTCAGTCTTAGCAGCCTGATCCACCTGCTGGTTGTTTTGATGTTCTTCAGTGGCCCAACTCTTGGGTACGTGAGCATCTACGTGACGTACTTTTACAACCAGGTTCTCTACCCGAGCAGCAATATCTTGCCATAATGCGGCAGCCCAGATGGGTTTGCCTCTGCGCTGCCAGTTGTTCTGCTTCCATTGCTGCAACCGCCCCCACAGGGCATTTGCCACCATCCATGAGTCAGTATAGAGATAAAGTACTGGCCGCTTCTCTCGTTCAGCAATATCTAAAGCCAGCTGGATGGCTTTCACCTCTGCAAACTGACTTGACTCCCCTTCTCCTTCAGCAGTTTCTGCGACTTGTCGTATAGGACTCCATACAGCAGCTTTCCACCTCCGATGCTTTCCCACAAGACGACAGGACCCATCAGTAAACAGGGCATATTGCTTTTCATTTTCTGCAGTTTATTATACAGTGGGGCCTCCTCCGTCATACGGTATGGAATAGCCCTTTAGTCAGTTTGGATCAACTATTCTGTCTGTGCCCCCTCCCAGTTCCTTGTGCACCTGGCAGAGCATGGGAAGCTGAAAAGTCCTTGACTAGCATAAGCAGTACTTAGCAACAGCTAAAACATCAGTGTGTTATCAACGTTGTTCTCCTAAATCCAAACCACATCACTATACCAGCTACTAGGAAGAAAATTAACTATATCCCAGCAGAAACTAGGACAGACTGACTTCCCTTTCTGTTAAACTAAAAATAAAAAAAAAAAAAAAAGCTTTTGCTATTGGCTTCAGTAAGGGCTAATAGCAGAGTTATCAGAGACCTGATGAGGAGTGCAGGAGACTGGGGTGGGATTCATCTGACTAAATATGGATGGCTCTAATGTAGACACCCATGGCCGAACCAACCTTGGTCCCATTTTGGGCAGCAGAGAGTTAGTCAGTATAACCAGTGAGTTCAAGGCACTGTTTATCTTATCCTAAAGTAAATGATTACATATTTGGTCAGAAAGACTGTACACTGGATTCACTGATTTTATTCATTATATCTCCTTTGAAACAAAATAGGACCTTAGCCCACTTGTGCAGCTGGAGACAATTACAACTTCATTCCAGACACACAGTCGAGGTCAGATAAATGACAGCCCATGTCTGGTCTATGCAATTTGGCTCAAGACTGCTAATCAGAAGTACTTTCAGGAGCTGGAAAATGTCACTTCCTTGTGGCTCCAGTGTGGACTCGGGACCGGAGCTCGGGAAGCGGCAGTGGCACCATGGCTGGTGGTAACGACAGCAGGAAGGCCAAGGCAAAGATGGTGTCGCACTCACAGAGAGCTGGGCTGCAGTTCCATGTGGGCCAGATCCACAGACGCTTGAAGACTCTCACCACCAGCTTACAGGCGAGTGGGTGCCACTGCTGCTGTCTACAGTGCCGCCATCCTTCAGTACCTCACTGCCGAGGTGCTGCAGCTGGTGGGCAATGCTTTGAAAGATCTCAAATCAAGCGGATCACTCCTCATCACTTGCAGCTGGCAGACTGCACTGATGAAGAGTTTTACTCCCTGATCAAAGCCACCATCTCTTTTTCACTGAACAGAAATTTACCAATACAAGCAAGAGATTAAATTGCTCCTCTATGTTCACAATGTTGGCCTTCGTGAGAAAGGAGTGGCATGCAGCACTGCTGTGCAGTGATGCCCCTGCTGGTAACCACTGCAGTGTTGTACATGTGCATGGTAGCACAGGAAGCTGCTCGTGGCACAGTAGCAGGAAATCTGCTTTAGTGTTCAGCTGGAAGGTGTGCTTTACCACAGTGTACTCTACCAGGAGTACAATTAGAGTTGCAGGTCACCCATAACAAGTCATTGTCCTCTGCACAGGTCAATATGATCTCCCATGGAAAACTGTGAAGCTTTTTATATCTATATATATTCCTTTTTTATAAATACTTTTCTAAAAAGGCAAAAGCAGACATTCTTTCTCCAGCAGGAAGCAAAGGGTTCTTTGAAACGTGTTTCAGGTAAGCACCGACAAGGCAGTACATTTCCCACCACCAAATATTTACATTCTTTTCTTGAGGCTTGAACTGTTCATTAAGAGTGTCTTTCAATCAACAGCCTTGCTCAATCGCTTTTGCTGCAAAGAAGGGTGCTGTAATACAACCACTGCAGGCAAGATCAGTCCATCAAGGCATGGTTTTCTGTGGGCTTTTTTCTCCTTTAAGAACCACCTCCTAGCAGTTCGAGATATTTTGTTAGAATCCTGCCTTCTACAATGCCTTGAAGAATGCATTGGAACCAAGCAGTGTGGTGAAGTCCGAGATACACTTCCATCAATACTGATACATATGTTGTCCAGCTGTAATTCTCTTTTTCACTGATACTGATGCCAGCTTTCTGTTGGGACAGTTTTACACCAATTTTGGTTTGTTCTTTTTTATTAGCCTTTGGGCCTCTTTCTCAATTTTCTTTTGTCATTGTGCTGCTGCTCTTTTTTCCCTTTCTGCTGTCTTCTGTTGTCTGTAATTAAAGAAAATGTGACTTGCTAAAAAACAGGGGTCCCGTTTTCAGCATAGTCATACTTCAAGTTCCTGTCAATAAATAGGTTATTATAACAAATACAGACAGAACCTCAGCCTGCTGTAGTTAGGCTGTCGTGGTTTAGCCCCAGCCAGCAACTAAACACCATACAGCTGCTTGCTCACTCCCACTGCCCCAGTGGGATGGGGGAAAGATTCGGAGGAGTAAGAGTGAGAAACACTCCTGCGTTAAGAACAGTTTAATAATTGAAACAAAATAAAGTACAATAGTAGTAGTTATAATAACAATACAATAATAATATACAAAGCAAGTGATGCACAATGCAGTTGCTTACCACCTGCCGACCGATACCCAGACAGTTCCCGAGCAGCGATCGCTGCCCCCCAGCCAGCCCCCCTCAGTTTATATACTGAGCATGATGTCATATGGTATGGAATAGCCCTTTGGTCAGTTTGGATCAACTCTTCTGGCTGTGCCCCTTCCCAGCTTCTCGCTGGCAGGACATGAGAAGCTGAAAAGTCCTTGACGAGTGTAAACGCTCCTTGGCAACAACTAAAACATCAGTGTGTTCTCAGTGTTATTCTCATCCTAAATGCAAACCACTGCACTATGCCAGCTACTAGGAAGAAAACTAACTCTATCCCAGGCGAAACCAGGACAACCCGAAGCAACCTTCTCTGGTGGATTCTAACTATGGACAAACTGGGCACACAAATCTTAGAACTATTTGAGGTACGAAGGCTACATGTTATCTTTGTATTGGACGGGAGAGGGACTGCACTTACTCAATAGCCTCATGGTTTCCCTCGATTGAGTATTAATGGCTAGAAGTTTCCTGATACTCTGTTAAATTGCTCTGCTCTCTCTCATGGAAGAGTGAAATTAGTCATGTACATCAGGATCTACCTCACAAGTTAATGGAAGTCCCAGCTTGTTTTTGGGATCATGACCCACTATTCTACATTCTACCAGAAGGCCAGACAGGTGACAGTGCTGTCAGTCTAGCATATGCGGAGTAATAATACTTGCCACTTCACAGGAACAGATTTTCTTGTATTCTTCACACCTCTGAACGGATGCAGAAGGGAAGAATCCATAGGTACGCTAGCTGGCATGTAGAGCCGGTGGAATTCTAAAAAGCCACATGAGGTCTTAAGTAGTGCTGTGATTCATTTGCAGTTCTGCAGCGCGGAAAGTCGTAGCAGTTCATGTTCCCCCCGCCCCCCATCCCATAAACTGCAGGACACAGAACTCCTCTGCACAGAGAAGGGGTTTCCATGCCCTCTACTAGCTGAGTCGTTTTATGGGGCTTCAGTAGCATCCAAACGTGAAGGGACCTTCGCATTACCTCGCATAGAGGAACTGGAGTCACCGAAGAATAAACGCACGTAGCTTACCACAGAGTGATTACCTTTTCACTGCTCTTTCACTTGGTCATTATTCCAAACACTGATCTCTATTCCAAACTTCCTACGTGTATTGAACATAAAGTTACCTGCTTTCAGGCTCAGAAAGGCTTTATTTCTCAATAAAGAGGCGCCTATAATGAACTAGGGCCATACCTGCCTCACTTCGTCTGGGTTCCAAAGCAAGGAGTTAAGCAGAGTTTGGATGGAAGGATGCAAGCTGCTTAAACCAGGGAAGTGTTCCTTCCTGATGTCAAGTTTGCTTTGCATTCCTAACACAACTTAGGACAACAAAAACCTAACGCACCGGTTAGCAGAACACTAATTACAATCAGCACAGTGTTAGCAGACCTTATTCCAGCATGGGTTTACTTGCTGTATACCTTCTGAATAACTGTAAGAAGAATGATTTCATACTATTCTTGTACTTCAACACACTTGAAAATGCACAAAAAACATTTTCACACACTAGCTGTTTTATACATAGCTGCTCATGAAACCAAGGAGCATTCAGCCTAATGGTTTCTGCTGGGAAAAAAGAAAATTGATTACCAATAGAAAGTCTAAAGGTGTAGATACGTATCTACAATTTGCAGAAGAAACCAAGTTCTAGCTACTTCAGTTAACTGAAAATCAAACTGAAAGGAAAATCCAGCTTATTGTCCACTATGCTGATTTACCACTGACTGGAAAATCTGGGTGCGTCCCAGCCCAGAACCTGCTGGGGAGTGGGGAAGAAGCAGACTACAGGAACTTCTCAGGCACTAGTAGCCTACTCCTCAGCGCTGTCTTCCAGCATGCTTTGATTTCCGGGAAGCCACACTGGGCTTACTGTACATGCTTCTTTCAACTGTTACAGATACATATTAAGCTGCCAGAGAGAAAGCCACAGGGCATAGTCTTCCCTGTTATTTAAAAGGCCGCAGCCCATTTTTGCATGATTGATCAGCGCTCCATTACTACACAAAAATTATTCCAGTCTAAGACACTTCTGAAAACTAACTGAGCACCAACATGTACCCAGACGCAGCTAGCTAAGGGAGATCCTTACTTTTTCTGCACACTCACTTCATTCTCATTAAGCACGGCTGGAGTACAGTCAGCACTAACCCTCTGGAGGCTTAGGGGGACTTTGTGCCCCGTTAAGCTGTCTGAAATCTTCAGATCATTTTGTAGACCAAGAGGCAGTCTTCTGGCGTTGAGAAGAGACTCCAGATCAGTTTCGTACTACAGTCTGTTGAAAACAGACAGGCCTGTCAAGCAATACGCTAAAGTTTTATGTTAAATCTCAGATGTTCATTACACCACAGACTTCTACTGCAAGAGAAACTGTGAACCCGGAAGGTATTTCCTATCAATCTTACTAAAACATCAGCCAGCACTTTCCTCAATGACAGAAAAACATTGTTATTTGACATGCCGTGAATAAAACAAAGGTTTTACTTCACACAGCTGGGACACAGCTGACACCTCCATTACAAGACCAGTCCCACAAAGAAGACGAAAGCGATACTTAGGGGGTCAAAAAATGTGGGGGAGACAAGCAGGACAGCACCTGTGTTACTTCATGTTCTGGCTCTGTCCCCCATAAATAAGTGGGAGGGGAGGATGAGAACCTTGCCCCATACAACAGAGTAGCCTGGAGAATAAAAGTTCCTGCACACAAGTGCTTGGGTGACAAGATACTGAATTGCTGTGAGAAACCTCTGGTAAAGTTCAGGCGGAGCCAGGTATGGGGATGGGAGCTAAGTTTGTGCATTAAAGACATGGGAGGAGGAGTGAAGCAGCATACACCTTCACACCCAACTTCCCTGTTGGCCAATTTATCTCTTGTGAAGCTCTGCCACACTAGTGTTGTCTCACAAAGGGAGTTCATTACCCAGTGTGCAATAATCCAATTCACACACTGAGTCGAGATACCGATTTTATTTCATTTCTGCACAGAGATGGGTGCTAGGTGGTAATTCCACAAAGCTAGCGCACCCTTACAATAATATTTTAACGTATTTATACTTATGTTGCTATATATCACTCCTTTATATTTGCTTATTGTACCATCGTTGGATCTTAGTCTCTTCTCCTTGATTTAAAGACACAATATTCCATAATTTCACTGTGCAGGCCCAGTGGGTAAGGGTCTTCACATGGAGGCAAGAATATTTTGGCAAGAGGTGTGGTTTTTCCATGGAAATGAGCATAGTTCATTTAAAGTTCATATACTCTTTTAGTTTGCGTCCAATTCCGTGCTCTGCTGCCCGAATATTTCTTTGGGAGTGATAAGTTTCTGCTTTATCTAACATTTTGTCCTTGGGTAAATATCATTCTCTACTAGCTGACCTCGACATTATGTTACTTGAGGCATCATAGGTATCAGTTCTTACGTGCAGCTCAGCGCTTCAGTGAATACCTTCTCCGTCTTCTGCTGCGTGCATGCTCTTATCCCTGAATTCATGGGTTGTATGGATTTCTTATCTTGTGACAGATGAGCGAAGACAGCAAATTCTGTGCCTGAGTCTTGTTCCCTGCGCAGCCAGGGAACAGTGAAGTTGTGAAAGAATGGGAAGGGGTGGGGGGCGATCTGACTAGATCGCCTCTGTCTAGACAAACAGAATTGTTAACTAAGTTGTAAGTAGGTTCTGGCACAAGTTTTTCTTAAAAGAGACGTAATTGAGAAAGCAAGACAGTAGGAATTACCTTTCATGGCCTTAGTCATGGAGAAAAGTTTTTGAAAATGTTTAGTATGCTTGTCAAGTTGCTTAAAATCTTGCAGAAGTCAACTGATTTGACAGCACTTTTCAGATATGAAAGAAGTCCTTGGGAAATGTTAAATTTTCCACTATGTTGTAGAAGATAACATCATGCACTTTTATGCATATTTTCTGCACAAGTGTTCTGGCTGGAGTAGTATTGTTGTTGTTATATAAACAGTATAAGAATTAGTTCATGAAATAGCAGACTACAGTAGAAACTAAGTGTTTTTTTTAAGAAATGTTTTTTCTAATTCAGTTTCGTATGTTTTTCTGGCATTGCTGACTTGTCTCAGAAGATGTGTCAGCACTAGATTTCTGTAGTGGCTAGCAATGAATTTTTATCTGATTTTGCAGTTTATGAGTGTTAAATACAAGGAATGTCATTCTACTACTTTACAATGTGGGGGTAAGCTAGAACGATATACACTGAAGACAGTAGATTATGGTGGTGTCAAATTAGTATGAGTAATTTTTTTTTTCCCTGTCTTAGTGATAGTTTTTTTCTTTTGAAATGCAAATACAGTTTTATAGCACTATGTTCTTTTTGTAAAGATTACAGTGACCTCAGCATTCGCTTTGCCAGATCATGTGCATTAACAAGGAAGGCAGTTAATGGAAAGGTGGGTATACAGTAAATATTGGTTTAATGAATGTTTACATTTCCAGTTATTTTCTATAAATATTAAGTATGCATTTTATTTACAGATTAATGTACACATTTGTTTTGTTTGGTGTGAATTACACCGTAGTTTCTCTGGACAGTGTTGATCCTTCTTTATGGAATCTACTAGTTTAAAAAGCTGGGGAATTTTAAAGCTCTCACAATTTGTATACTGTCTGAAGTGATTAATAAGCCAAAGGTGAATTGTTTTTTATAGTGTTCATTGTGTACCTTGAATGTCAAGAACAACCATTAGGGGAGCAGAGGCAATCTTTTAGGGGAAAAAAGGTATAAGCATTGTTACACCTTGTTTCTCAAACAAATGTTAGGATGAACTGCTTCTGAATCCTTCCAAGAAATCTGTGAAAACTATTTGAGTTGTGAGAAAATTTCTGTGGACAGTCACTAAAAGTGCTTTTAAGGAAAAAAAGGCATTCTTGTTTGTGTACTCCATCTTTGATGTTACGGTTTTCCTACAGAACTGAGCTGAATCTAGGCCTTTCTACATATTTAATATAGCAGTGCTGTGTTTTAAAGAAGGCTTTTGTTTTAAATTCAGTTCTTAGCACGTTCTCAGCATGTTTCTGAAACCAATCTTTCTTCCATGTGTGCTTCTTTTCTCACAACTCTTACTGCTGAAATATCTCTATTGTAGAAGGTATTGGAATTTCTGAGACACAGGTATGCAAGTCTGTTAAGACACATATTTAAGCAACATAAGCATACTTTTGAAGGACCGCATTAACCACTTTTTACTGTTTAATGCTCTGCAAGACTAAACCCATGGATATTTTTGACTAATTTTCATAAATGACACAAAGTGTTTTCATTTTCCATTATAAATGCTTCAGTGTTGGAGCTTAAATTATGAAGTAAATGGGAAGTTATTTTACGGTATAATTGCTGCAGGTTTTATGCTTGATCACCTCAACGCTTGAAGATATGATTGCTGTGCTGGAAGTTAACCTTGCTGCATTGGTGAGAACTCAGCAGAGTGATTTTCTCCTACGTGGAAACGAGAACAGTCTATCGGTTATTGCCAGGTACAGAATAACTTTAAATGTTTTTTTTCCTCTGAGTTGGGTTATGTATGTGTTTTCCTGACACTGAAGTGTATCAGATGGTTTTGTAGAGTGCTATTTGTTGACATGGGTTTATTTTTCTTGTTTTCCTGTCATGCTTTAGTTGTACTGAGTGGGAGAAATCACATAGTCACAGAATGGTTGAGGTTGTAAGGCTCCTCTGCAGGTCATGTTGTCCAACTCCCCTGCTCAAGCAGGGCCACCTAGAGCCAGTTGCCCAGCACCATGTCCAAACAGCTTTTGAATGTCTCCAAGAAGGGAGACACCACAACCTCTCTGGGCAACCTGTGCCAGTGCTCAGTCACCCTCACAGTAAAAAAGTGTTTCCCAGTATTCAGACGGAACCTTCTGTATTTTAATTTTTGCTCATTACCTCTGTCCTTTCACTGGGAACCAGGCACAGAGCCTGACTCTCTCTTCCTTACAGCCATGCACTGGTGCATAGGGTTGTTCCTCCCCAGGTGCAGGACTTTGTGCTTCCCCTTGTTGAACTTCATGAGGTTGCTGTCAGCCCATTTCTCCAGCCTGTGGATGTCAGGATGGCAGCACAACCTTCTGGTGTATCACCAGTGACACTCCTCTCAGTTTTGTGTCATCAGCAAACATGGTAAGGCTACACTCTGCTCCTTCATCCAGGTTACTAACAAGATGTCGAATGGAATTGGACTCAGTATTGATGCCCGGGGTACTCTGCTAGTTACTATCCTCCAACTAGACTTTGTGCCACTGATCACCACTGTCTGGGCCTGGCTGTTCAGCTGGCTTTCAGTCCACCTCATTGTGTACTCATCCAGCCCATACTTCATCAGCTTCTCTATGAGGATGTTATGGGAGGCAGTGTCTAAAGCCTTACTGAAGTCAAAGTAATATGGACTTATATCCACTGCTCTCCCCTCATCTACCAAGCCAGTTATTTTATCATAGAAGTCTATCCAGTGGATCAAGCATGACTTCCCCTCGGTAAATCCATGCTGACTACTATTTTCTTGTCTTTCATGTGCCTGTAAATGACTTCCAGGAAAACACTGACATCTTGAAGACAATAAAAAAACCTACAATATACACTGACGTGCAGATTTCAGTGCTTATAATAAAATCACCAGTTAATATTCACAGAAATGAGATTTATCATGTAAATGCAATGGTCTGTGAATCTGGTCAGGGCCAAGGCTGGTCTGTGCTGGTGGGTATCTGAGCTGATAACTAATCCACTATGCCTGATTTATATTTATGGAAATCTTACTGGTATCACATACATACATATATATACACACACACATATATACATACGCACATGCAGACAAATAGCTAAGAAGACGTTTTGACACCTTTTCCTAATCTGATGCTTTTGTCCATTGTATTGATTGATTTTTGTGCTTGGTTTTATAACTTAGGTGTTCTTTATTGACAAATTCTCCATTGTGTAAAGGTTTAAAGAAAAACATGAAAGAACCTTCTGGTAAAACACCTGGTAAGTATAAACCAAGCTTGAAATGACTTAATAAAGTTATGTTTTTATCAACAGTAACAGACTCATAACTGGCTGGTACCTAATACAATCAATATATTGATTTTAGTTTTAAATATATATTGCATGATATTTTTATTTTAGTAGGAAGAATTTTGTACTTCTAGTAGTATTTCATATCCTACATATGTATTTGTAGTGAAGATGATGGTAATATGCTATTTTTTTTCTTTCAAAAACAATCGTCTGAGAACTTTCAGTGGATTTTAAGAGTTAGAGTGTAGAATGTTTCCATTTTTCCTAAGTCATTCTTTTTCCATAGCATGCAATATTTTTTTCTTTATAATCTGCCATTTCTTTCTTAACTTTGGTTACCTGTTTTGGTTAATTTTATTGTCCTGAATAGTCTTTTGTCAATATCTGCAAGTTTAGGAAGTTAATTTTTGCCTCAATGTCCTACTGTTTAAAAAAAAAAGGTCTGACTTCCAGTTCCTGTTGAAGCACTTGTAGCTTCTTTGCTTAGCAACAGTAAAGCAAAGTCCAGAAAATACCTACAAAATAATTTTTTCATCATCACCTTTTCTTTAGGAAAGAGATGAAAATACTGGTGTCTGTAGACATGTAGAAATAATCTTTTTTTACTATATTGATTGTCCTTGTTGGGCCTGTTAGAATGTAAAAAGTTTTATCTTTAGTGTTGTGTGAGAATGCAACCACACAGCGCTTTAGCTAGAATTCCAGGCTGCTTCGGACACCCAGCACTGATGCCTGTACTACCCTTGTTGACACCCCACACTCAGATAGATTAGGTGCTGTAAGGAAATCCTGTAGTCTCTTACAGCAAGTGGTTCTGGGAGCTCCCCAGGAAGGGCACTTTTCTGCCTCATTGCTACGTAAAAAGAAAGGATAGCTGGTGGGAGTTGAAGGAGCTTCTCTCCTCAGCATAGGTAAATGTGCCCACAGGATCACTCCCAATGCACCTGAATTTTTTCCCTGGGAGTATCAACAAGATTTCCCCCTTTACACCATTTATTTAATTAGGTTGTTTCTGGTGATATGAAATGCTCATATTTAGTTTTGGGCTGGAGACTCTCCGTCAGGCTTCTTAATACAGCAGTGTGAATGAAGACATATTAATGACATAAAACCCAGACATTTATGTGTTCCCACCAGCCAGTTTGTTAATAATCTTTAGATACATTCCATATTCCAAATATAAGGTGTAGGTATATTATAGCTAGTGCATATGAAGGCTAAGCATGAAATAGGCAACTACAAAATACATTTGTGAATAAATTGTGAATAAATGATGAAAAAAGTTCCTCAGAACTCTTGTTAATTCAAAGTTTAAAGAAGTTCCTACTCATTGATATTGTTGGAAGAGGGTTGTTATACAGTGTAACAGTTCATATTTCTTTCCTTTTCTCAGTAAGCATTATCTTAGAGTGATTGGTCTTAAATGTGTTTTGTAAAGTAAGGAGACAGCAAGTATTTTACTGTGCTAGCTTAACTAAGTATCTACCTTATCTGTAAAAATATAATGTTTAAAAAAAAATTAATTAAAATTAAATTATTTTGCTATAGGAGTGAAAAGCGCAGTGAAAGATCAGCCATTGGTTTTCTATAATAAAATTAAGTCATCAGGTTATACAGCAGCACCACAGTGAGTAGATACATTACTATTTTTTCTGTTTTATTGGTGTGTGATATTTTGGCACGTAATAGAGCCATGTAGTTTCACGACTGTGAAATTAACCACATGTGAAAAACAGATAGGATGTTATCAAACAAAATAATTTTAAAAATATGTTGTAAACCAAAATTTTCAAAGTTTCTGGTCAGTGTTCAACTTCCTTTCAAAATCGGTATTACGCATCCTGTCTCTTTGATATGATTAAACTCTTCTTGTTTCTTCAGCTTGCAGAAAGAAATGTCTGAGAACTTTATATGAATAGATTTTGACCTTCAGAATGCATTATCCAGCAAATAACTCACATAAAGCAAAATCTAGGTGCAAACTCGAGCATTAGATCTTTAGAAAGTTATCTTGTCATCAATGTGTACATTGTCTTACCTACTGATGTTACTAGCAGACATAAGTAATAAGAAAGAAGTAGGATTGGGTTTTGTTTGAAATAAGCTATTTCTCTCATGCAACATTTAATATTTCATATAGGAGAGTCTGTGTTCTTTCTTGTAGAATGACCATGTTCCCTCCAAATAATCTGAAGAAAAGTGAGGTATCAAAGTGGAAGACCAGTTGTAAACAGTAGGTAACCTAGCAACTCTGTTAGAGGAGAAAGAAATTAAATGAGGATAAATACAGTTCTATTGGAAATATGGTTTGTAGCTGCTTCTCTCTTTGTAACTTTTTAGTTATGAGTATCACTGGAACTAAAAGGCTTTGTAGATTTGCTATAAAATGACTGCAGCAAGTGATTCAGATTATCAGACTATCAATTAAATTTTAGTAAGTCTTACATACGAAAGAAAATATACACATCTGTTTTCTTAGATTTTTGTTGCTAGAAAGAAGAACAGGTGCTAAATATGGTTGGAGGCATAGTTGCAACATGTTCTTAAGATGCAATTCTAGTCAGAAAAGTAACTGGACGTGGCACAGAGTTAGTGATTTCAGATAATGTGCTTCATTCACCCCTAAAATCACGTTATCTTAAGCTAAAACATTACTCTAATGGATTTAAACAGAGGATACATAATGGTACAATCTGACCAGTGGATTCATCATCACTGTGAACACAAAGAACGAACATGGTTTTAGAGCTGGCACTTTCATGTTAATTGGTGTGGTATCTTAAATGGGGATATTACACACTTTTTTTCTCTTTAGTATTATATAGACTCTTTGTTCTATGTAGTACAAATGTACAAACATAAGAGTAAAGAATGATTAATGCTATAATTTTTCTCTCTTAACAAAAATGTTTCTTAAACACTTAATAGCTCAAGACTGTTTTTGTAATCCTTGCACACATAGGCAAGCCTTTAGATGAGCACTTCAGATAATTTCAAGATTGGTTTGCACTATTTTATGATAGGTTAAGGTACTTAGCACTTCAAGTTTTGTGTGGGTTTTTTTAGTATCTTGTTAAATAGGTGATCAATGTAATTCTTATTTTTACATATGGAGATATTTTTCATATTATTTATTATCACAACAAGGTAGAGTTTGCGTTCTTTAAATACTTTTATTAGATAGGTATGCAACTTAAGAAGTTTGATTTTATGTACAAGTCCATGTTAATTTTCAATCTCATGAATTCATAACAGTTGGTGATAGGAGTAATTAACATATGACAATTTGAAATTTTTTCTGGGTCTTATCTTGGATTTAACATAGGTTTTTCAGAAAATATTTATATAACGATGTTTAGAATAGCTCCCAAAGCACATTTATGTCATGACTGAAATGAAAATCTAGTGGGTTTAGATGTCTTAATATTTTTCCTCTCTTTCTCTTTTTTCCTTCTTTGAAGTAAAAATAAAGAATATCCGTTGGAAAGTCCTCCTCCAATCCAATAGGAGAAGATTGTATCTGTTACTTGTAAACCAACCCCAATATGTTGCATTCCATATTCTGGTATGTACAGGCTTTATAAAATGTACAGTTGTGCCAGTGTGCAGAAAGAAAAACAAAATTTGTGTGACATGGTTTATTAAGGCCACATGTACTGTTAGATCATAATTTTTTAACTTTCAAAGCCATGCAAGCTTCTAACATGTATGCAAAAGGATTCAAATTGTTCTCTGATTTTACATCTTGTTTCCTTTTGTACTTATTCTATGACTTTCCCACTACCACTTGAAAATTAGTAGTCTAACAAGTTCTTTCACTAAGGAATTTTATTTTCTGAGACATTTACTTAGTGTCATTAGGGCATATGAAAAGCTGAAGTTCTGTTTCAAAAGAATCAGAATACTATTTCTTATGTAAACATTATTCATTTTTTATATATTAAAATATAAAGAAAGAATTCTTGCATGTAATCCAAAGAAGGGTGTTTTTCTTAACTGCTTTGGAGAAGTGAGTCTTGTAAGAGGTTTAGTGATTTCCAATCTATATAAATATTATACAGAAACGGATTCTTAGATTAGCAATCCAGTGTATTACCAAGTATATAATTATATCAATGTACACTCTGCAAGCCACAATATGTTCAAAGTATTTAAAAATGTATATCTTTATAAATACTTTGGGGACAAGAGCAACTTTCATCTTCAAAAAATGAAAGTAAATGGAAGCAATCAGTAACTTTTCTAAAACATATTCCAGCCATAAGTGTTCCCTAGAGAATGAGAAGAAATTATTTCTATAGCTCCTGAAAGAAATCAGTTGCAGAGAGCTTATTTCTAGGAATGTTATGTTAGCTTAAAAGTGAAAGTTCTTTTTTAGCATATTAGGTCCTTGTTGCTTTCAAATATAAATCATTAGACACTCTTCTTTATACGGGGTGGAGAAATGCTGGCTTGCGGCCTGGCTGACAAGACTGTACTGATATTCACTTCCAATCTCACTGACACGTATAATGTTTTTTCAGGTAAATTTATGAATTACATTATTAAAGAAATAGTGTATAATTGAGTTTAACCTAAAATGGCATAGTAATGAAAAGATTCCACGTACATCACCTTGAGAAGAATGGGGAAGAGGGGATACTGCTGATTCAAGATGTCGAAGTTGTAGAAGATGTAGAAGAACTCCGATTAGTTAGTTTTGTTCTAGAATTAAACTGCCTACCAGGTTTTCCCATTTCTCAATTTTCTGGGAGGTAAGTAGTAATTTATCATGATATATATTGCTATCTGCATTGTGTATGTTTATTACAAAATTAAATAGAAATAATAAAGCCAGTGTGTTGTAATAATAATGCATGCATATATTGCAGTAATATATTGTAATAGATTATTAGCCAAAAAATTGACTGTGATGACTTGGCAAAAAATGTGTTTGGTTTGCAGCCCCAGACTTCTAAAGAACAACTCTTTGAAAAAAAAAAGGGACTGTTCCTATGGAGAAATCCGTATCTGTGAAAGTGTATGCATATGCAAAACACATGTGCATTACTTAACATTATAATCAGCTTTAAAAAAAATGAATTCTAAATTTCTACAGAACTATCTGTTAAAGTTTTAATAACAGTAAATATTGTGACTTAAAATGTATATAGCAGGACTGATTTACTGTGGAAGTTTGTAATGCAAGATGACTGTTTACTAGCAGGCCTTAACAAGTATAAAAGTAGACTATTTTAAGTTATTTTAGAACAATGTTTCTAAGTTAAAAATCTGATAACTGATTTCTGAAAACTGGGGTTTTTTTTGAGTAATTTTTGTTGTATTTTGTGGAAGAAGCTGTGACACTGTGGCCACTAATGGAGGTAACATTACTGATATTTCCTCTTTGTGTGAGGAAATTGATGAAAATATGCCTTTTGGACAGGGTAGGTCTTTTTTTTTCCACAAGAGAAACTTCATAAACTCTAAAAAATGTTTTTCTCATGTTATCACTGACTAATTTGAGCAAATTCATAGTGCAAGTCACATAAACTGCAGGCAGGAATAGTGTTTTGAGGTTTTATTGACATAATTTTGTTATGTAGATAGTAACAGAACAAAAGCAGTAATTTTGTCCAAAGGGACCTCATATATCTGGAATATATTTAACATTGGTTTAGAAGATCAGGATTTCTAAAAAATGCAATTTTAACTGGAAGAGATCAAAATTCTGTATTTCCTTCCCTTACTTGTTACAAGCATCTATAAAAATGGTACAGTACTGCTACCGTATTTAGTACTCAGCAGCTTAACAAAGTTGTGCCCAAAGAATTCAGTGTTTCTTCAGGTTATTAACGCATCTTTCTTAAGTAATCTGAAGCAGCTAAGATGTAAATGATTTTCACGAACTTTAAAATCTTTTTTTTTGTCATAGCAGAGCTACTCTGAACATGAAGTAGAACATCTTTTGCATTGCAGATCCAGCTTCTCTTTATGTGAACCACTATTAAGAAGTTAAGCTGGTTTTGCTTGAATGTATATAGAGACTATGGGCTGCAGAAAGTGACATTTCAATACCGTGAAATACTCTTTTTTTGATTTTTTTTTTCACTGGAGTTTGTTTTTATGCAGGCTTCATTGATTTTGGACTGGCAATAGCTGGGTTTTATCTTTGTTTCATCTCAGGGGAACATACTAATTTCATTGACTTTGTTCCATCTATACCTCCATATACTTGCTACATAGTAAATAACATCTAAGGAATGTCTCAATACTGGCAATAAGAGAAAACATAGACTTTAATAAGACAGAATAGTAATCTAAGTAGACATATTTGAAAGCAGAGAAAAAAAAGGTTTGAATTTAGAGGTTTCTAAATTTGAAAGAAAACCTTAGTTCATATTACTCTGTAAATCATGAAGGAAACAGTACGTAGGTTTTGACACATTATTAACGAAAGGCTTTGTCTTTCTATGAAGTACAATTAAATATTATGATTTTATAAGGTATGTCAACAATCAGAGCTCCCTAAAATACTGCAGTACTCTGCAAATGCAGTCTAATTTATTGTGATGAGAAGAGTAAAGTGACCTGCACCAAACTTCATGCTACTACAGAGAAGCTTTTTCTGGTGCCAGTAGTTAAGGTGTCAAGTACTAGTTCTTTCTCTTGCTTTAAAAAAATTTTGATTAATTACTAACTTGTTCTTCTAACAATTGGCTTTGTTCTATTAGTTTTCTTAGGTTTTGTGCTACTATCTAATTTATTTCATTGATAATGAATGATTCATTCTTTATTCTATGTCTTTTTAATGATGCACAGTCTGAAAAGAAGTGTAAACCACATTCTACTTCAGGGTCTGTAAGTAGCAGAAGAATGCAACCTGTGCATGTAGTTCTTTTCAAAAGCCACATAAATGTGAAGCTGTCAGGTACTGTACTGTAGGGGAGTAGGAACCGCAAATCATCAGTTACGTGCTTATTTCATTCATGTAGTAGTTCTGTACAGTTCAGATTATCGTGAAATCACTTATTTATTTTCTACTTTAGATGCCATTGGTTTTGAAGTGTCATAATAGATGTATTTTCATTAAAAACTGTTGCTCTTATTCAGAGGTGCAATCAATGGTAATGTAAAACTTTCTTTTTTGCAAGAAATGGCAATGATATCTGTTCTGTTAGAAATTGCATTTTCAAGGCAGCACTAACATCTGAATATAGCTGATTATCAAAAATCATATTTTTATAATGCACCATCAGAGTGGAGTGGTATAACAGCAATTTTGCTATAATTCTAATTCATTCAGTTTTGCTCCCTGAAGTGCTCACAGTTTTAAGTAGTTCTGCATTCCTCTTCAGTGTTGGCTCTTCAGGTGTCTGTGTCCTGTAGTGAAGTGCAGGTAATATTAGCCAGCTTTAAAAGAGTTACAGCCAGCATGGCCTTTTTGAAGAAGTCTTTTTCAAAACCAGCTGCTGTCCTTCTTAATGTGCTTCAGGACTGGGGAACCCTGAGTAATGCCTGTTTTGAAGCTTACTGGCCTCTCGCAAATCATCTGGCATCTCCTTCACTGGGCTTTGGGATTGGGGGACCTGGAGTGCAGACATTATTAAGCTTTTTGCATGGGTCTTCCAATTTTCCAAACCTCAGATTTTCCTAAAGTTTCTCATGTTCCTTACCACTTTGGAAAACTGTTTTGTATATTCTGGTAAGTTGTTTTTGGTTTTTTTGGTTTTTTGTTTGTTTTTCTTTAATGCAGATAATTCAAGGCTTCTGAATGGTTTTACAAAATAAATAAAAAAAAATTACAAATAAATCCTTGTATTGAGAATAAAATAAGTATAGTACTTACATATGTACTTATCCAGTACCTGTGCAGTTTTCTGGTGAAAATCCTACAGGTTTTTGGTAACTGGGAATTAAAATATCTTGTTTATAAGCCTTTTTAAAGATATATGTTTTCACAGAAGATCTTAATTGCTTAGATAAATTCATTAGCCTTCCTGTAATTTAAAGCAAACTTTTTTTTAATATAAAACTTCAGTTGACTAAAGAGAAAATGTGCACAAGAGGGCAGCATAAGAACTTTGAATATTTTAAGGCTAGGTGAAGTTCATCAGACTTCATCTGGAAAAATTAGAATAATATGGGCCAAAGTTTGTTAATTTTGTGTGCCATATTTTCTTCTTTTTTGACCTTTTTGATCAGCTTCAATATAATTTGAGATCACATCAATAATTTTAGCTTCTGGATGGTGTTTCTGGCTTTTGAAGGTCGTTCTTTGTAAGTTTTTAATCTTGTTTTTAACTGTTTGACACCAAACTGGAAAGTCTGTTTCTTGTAGAAGCTTTTTGCTATTAACTGGAGATTATAATACTTTAAACTATGATTTTTAAACAAGCAGTTACATTTTTTTAATCTAATGAGACAGTCCTGCAGAAGCTTTTGTAGTGGCATGTTCATTGTGTTTTTACAAAACCAGCTAGCTCAGTAATAAAAGCCTAATGAATAAAATAAAGTACTGCAATTTTTGCAAGGTCTTAAGTGGTTTCCTGATCATGTTTAATATAAAATTTCATTATATTATAATACTCATATTATCTTTTCGAGTAATACTGTATTTTTTCTTCAAGTGAATTTCAAGGATGTTTCTTGAAAATGCTCTTCCAATAACTTTCAAAAATTAAAGTCAGAATTATCATTATCTGTAGATAAATTAGATTGGTGATTCTTTTGTAACTGCTTATATTTTGTGTTTTAAAACACTGAACTTCTACAAAGTCAAAGTCAGGTGTTCTGTTGCTGAGACTTCTACAATAAGTATTTATTTGCCATAGCTGTGGTGAGTTCCTTTACTGCTTTATGTGATAAAATCCTTCTGGATCTCAGTAGCCTCACCTTCCTTCCTTCCTTTTAAAGCATCATCCCATCAATTACATTGTCTTCTGGAATATATGGCACTTTGCAGCTCTGTAAAATCAGTTTCTAAGCACTTGAAGTTAAGCATTCAAAATGAAGTTCATAGGAAGCCTGATTCAGATTTTGAAGGCCTTCAATGCTCGAGTAACCATCCTGGGATTCAGTTTTTTTCTTTGGGCTGAACCTTTCCACACCAGTACATTTCTTGCAGGCTCATGACAAAAAACACCTAGTCTTTACAAGCTTCAGTGTGGTAACTTCAATTTTGCTGGACTTCCAACCCCTGTTATTAGGGGTGGGCAGAGATGAAGTAATCTAGGATGAAACACTCAGGATAGCTTATTAGTCAGAGCAAAATAACACATGATCATCATCAACACTGTGGGCTAGATGCCAGGTTTTGGGCCTTTCCATGAGCCAAATACTGGCTAACAAACAGATGCAGAGCGCTGTGATCTTGCATGATGACCACCCTATTTTGCCATATGGGTATAGTAACAAGTCCTAGGGCTCTGGACCTTAACCATCCCAGTTGCACTTTGAAGTATTTGGTAGCCGTATTGTCAGTGATGGTTGTTTTCTTCACTCTGTTACCAACAAGACGATGAAGTCAGATGAAATTATTCCTTGAATATCCCTCATTGGGTAGTCTTTTTCAGACTGACGTTTGGACCTCTGTGCATCAGAAGACAGCTTTTCCAGACCTTAGAAGCTTGATGAGAAGCATTAGGAGTTGATGGTCAAACTTCTATTTGCTGTGGAGTTTTTTGCCACAGTTTGGAATAATTTTAATCCAATTCAGCGCTTCAGAGACAGCCGGTATTTAATGAAGAAGATCAGAAATACAGCTGTTACTCACTATTAATGACAACAACCTTATAACCACTTCTCTGGTTCTAATTCACTTTGGTGTGGAGATAGAATTTGTTAATATTACTGTGGCAGTAAAGATCTGTGAATGTGTTTTTGTTACCTTGAAGGAAGTTTGTTTGATTGTGTTATATATTTGTTTAGAACTATTTTATAGTTCTAGTTGAGTCAAATCTGAATTGCAGAAAGCTGAAGAAAATTTAGATACTAGTTTTTATTCTTTTAGAATGTGAATGTCTGTAAAAGATAAATGTGTCTTTTGTATTTGTTATAACATTTTTATACAAACTTCCTTATACCAATGGAAGCAATGTCATCCAAATACATATGATATTTCAGGTAGAATAACTTGATATTTCTCTGACCTTATTTAATTTTGTGAATCTTGATTATTAATGAGAGACATTTTTCCATTGTTTTTGGTGGAAGAAAAAAAAAAACAAGTGGTTTACTGTTACCAGTTTCAATCCAACCACTTGAAGCCTGTATTTAAAATGTATTTTAATATTGTGTATAATTATATTAAAACAGTACGATTAACTCTGGAGAAATGTATAAATGCAAGAAATGAGCTTTATGATATTTCCGTTATTATTTTTACTAGGTCATGGTGGTGCAGTTAACTGTTGGCTGGAGTCATGACAGGAAGTGGTTAGTTTCTGCATCAGAAGACAGAACTTTAAGGGTCTGGTCAGTCTGCAATAATGAACCTGCCCTAATTCTGGTAATTAGAAACTCCTGTCAGTTTGGTTCACAGAGGACACTATTTTGCACCTTTATCTACTTCCATTTTAACAGCTCTGTAGAAGGAACATACAGTCTGATTTTCAAAGCTACTGAGTAGTGGTGATTCAAACTGATACTATGATGTGGGTGGTCTCCATTGACTTCAAATTAGGCTTTTACCATGACAATATAGGAAAAGGAAAAAAAAACCAGTCTTGGGAGACAAAACTAGTGGGCATGTCTGGAAGTTTTGGTTTTATTGTCTGCTCTGTATATTATGTTTTCATTGGCTCAGCTCTGCTTGACTTTATAGTCTACTCCCCAATTCAAATGGAAGTTTGGACCATGAAGCTAGATGGTATTAGATTCAGTTGACTACAGATACTATTAACTTTACTGCCAACTAATTTAAGTAGAATGAAAACTTTATTTTGAGATTAATAGACATCAAAAATAGGAAGGGCCGCTACATAGTAGGTTAACCTCCTGGCATACGGGCAGGATAGCACGGAGACTACGCCTTAACACCAGAAATCTCAGACAAAAAGTATTCAATATCTTAGAATCCATTCTTAGTAATTTTCTTTGCATTTCAGGGCAAAGAGAAGTTCCGTAAGACTGTACGCTTTGCACAGTTTTATTTTATAGATGCATTCATATTGCTGTGTTGTGGAGCTGAATTTCATCTGTTCAGTTTCCATCTAGACACAACCAAGGATGACCTCAAGTGGTGAGTAAAATTTCTCATTAACAGACCAGTAAAAAGTACTTGTGCTGTTTCATCTGGGATTTTTTGGGTGGTGAGGTGGGGTGGGGTGGAGGGCAAGAATATTGCAGAAGAAAAAAATTGAACAAATAGTAAAAGCTAATTGTAAAAATATCTTTGTTCTGGCATAACAGAAAAAAATAGAAATGTCAGATTTTTTTTTATAGAGCATACCTTATCTGGTGCAAATACAGTTTTACTATTACTGTTACCATTTGGGACCTTCTGAGCTTTACCTTCTGCCTGTTTACATCTTAGTGGGCATTAATGTCTTATGTTACGCTTGAGAAGCTATTGCAAATCTTTCTCTTGTGGGAATATTTCTATATACTTTTTCTTTCAGAGACTCCAATGTACTGCAACTGTTTTCTTCCTTCTCTGTCAAATGGAAGTAAATCACTTCTATAATTTTCACTGACTTTCCAACTGTTAATATTGTGTCTAATTACTTTTCTTATTATCCTATTTTGTCTTTGTCCCTGCATTTCTTCCTTGTTAGGCATCCTTCTTTGTGACTTGGAATAAATTCTTTTATTAAATGCCTGATATACCTTTTCTGTTCTTTTAGTTCATAATTGGAGCTAAAACTGTCCTTGTATCCTTTTACTAAGGATTTCTGCTCTTCATTTGCTTTTGCTGTTTTTCAGTAGTATTTGTGTATTTAAGACTTTATTACATTGCATATATATCATATATATGCATGTATATATGTATATGTTTAGACATAACAGTGTTTAAAAAAACCTTGAAGCGATATTTTTCTTTGATATTATGACTTTGTATTTTGAGTGGAAGAACAAACAGAATTAAGGTTACAACACTGAAGTCTATTAGTTGATTTTGCAAATGGTGTATCCTGTCTGTTCATGATATTAAATAGTATTGGGCTGCATCCTTAGGTGGGAAAAACTGTCCTATTTCCTTGGTAGTTTTGCCACTGCACAGAAAAACATACTGAGGATAGGCTTAAATATGTTTTTGAATAGGAGTGCTTTCCTGTATTGAGGCATGAACCTGGTATGTGGAACTTCACTGAAACTTTAAACAGTCATACAGGAAACAAAAGGAGAAAAAAATGCCAAATTATATCACTCCTTTAAAATACACTTTTTAAAGAACAGAAATTCCTTCTTTGGAAAAGTAGCTAATGGATTGTGATCTAAGTTCTGTTTATAACTTCTTCAAAATGGTTAATTAATCGGGGTTTTCAGTCACATGCTTGGTTTTACAGTTAATCCACTGTCACTTGTAATTCTTTACCTGCCATTCTGGTCAAAATCCTTAATGGAGGGTGTTGCTGTGGCTCTTATTCATATTATTTTAGTCATATACTCTATTTGGAATGGGAATATAGCAAATAGACTGGAAAAACTAAATACAAAGGAATACAGAATTTCCTGCTTTGGTTTTATAGTATATACATTACATAGGAGGGTAAAACTAATAGAATAAAATTAAAAGAAAATCCTGAAATATGGACATAATTTCTTTTGAAAGGATTTCCCCACCCCCCTTCCTCCCCTTGACTTTCTTTTCTCATTACTGCTTCTAAGGAGATCTCATGTTCTGAAGTGCTTACCCTGTAGCAAAGTATAATAGTACAGGAGAACCTGGAAGGCAGAAAAAGCGATTCCTGTTCCAGCTTTGCTTGAAACCTATTCATAGCGTAAACAAGTAATATTTGAAACTGAGGCAGGCAACTGTTTCTCTCATACCATTCTTAACTCTTAAAATTTATACAGGAATTTGTGGAGGAACTTAGAAAAAGAAGATGGAAAACAATATTCTGATCTTTTAGATCCTTCCCTCTACTGATTACTTTCAGTTTTAAAATATAGTTAAAAATGTTTTTTCCTTCTATTTGTGGAGGCTTAGGCTTTAATAAGGAACTTTTATTGCAGTATATGATGTGCTGACTCTAGATATCTCCTTTTTTTTTTAACAAATACCTATGCCTCCTAGAGGAAAGTATCCAGTAACCTGAAGAAAATCCATACTGCAGTTACTGTTGTGGAAGACTGGTCTGAACTGCCTTCAAGCTAGTTAGTTCAGAAACTAAAGGTACTATGGAACTTGGTGTATTTGTAGAACCCACTCAAGCAGTTTTGCAAGGACTTGGGCACTGAACTTCACCTGTGTTCTGTGTTGCTCCAGTTGCTTTGTTAGTAGCATATAATATCCTGGTTTAAAGCTGTTAAAGTATGTATGTAGGGTTGTGCTTATAGCAGAATTTTGTTATTACCATGCTGTCAGTATTTCTTGATGCAGTAACACTAACTCAAAAATATGCAATTAGACTCTCTGGGATATTAGTGTAGTGCTGAAAGGCCAACCACAGAATCATAGACATTACAACGAATCCACAAACCAGTTTGAGGTCTGATTATATATATATCTATAAAAAAAGGTATTAAAGGTTAATTTGCTTTGACATTTTCTTGTGAATTCCCTCCAGTTCATTTCCCAGCATTTCTTTCTTTTATGGAACACTGCATCATTCCTTTTGTTTCTCGCAACTCTTTCATTCTGCCTTCTGAGTCAAATTTGGAAGAATGCTTGAATCAGACTGATTCAAGAAGATGCTAGATCTAACCCCAAAGCATGTTTTATATCCTTAATTAGAAGGGCATGGCAATGCAGTCTGGCTAACCAATAGATTGCTGCTGTATTTCAGAGGTGAAGACAGTACAATGACGAATCATATCACTGTTTCTCTGTGCGGAGTTTTCAAAGAACTCCCCATAAGTATTAATTAACTAAGCATCACAACAATGTAATTAAATGGTTAAATATTGGCTCAGTTTTAAAGGTGAAACTGAGAAATGGAAATAAGAAAAAGAATGTTATATTCCTTATTGGCTTATTTAAATATATCCTTACTTACAGATGCCATAGAGGAGATTCATTGCAATTCTGGGAATAGAATACAGATCTCCTGACTTCTTCTGTGGTTAATCTCAAAATGATTCACAACCTGAACAAATTTCTTTACCTTTTCCAGAATTGCTAACTATTGAATTTCTACTCCCATCAGCAGTTGTGCATGCTGATATGAAGTGTAACTATTAGCTTCTCAGTTTATTTTTTTTTAATTCTTAATTACTTTTAAGTCACATAAGAATTTGAGCAGAACAAAACATCTATGGGTTGTTACCTCATTTTTATAGTTTTATGTGTTGTTCTAAAGATCAGCATGAGCAATTTGAAAAGAGTTTAAAAAGGAGAAAATTATTTTCCAGTAATAGAAACAATGCCTTTTAAAGCCATTATATTTAGCAACTGGTTGCGGTAATCATATACACAGTAAGGAAAGTAATGATAAAATATCTACTCTGATGAAATGGGAAACTATACCAGCACATATTATAGATGGATAAAGCAAAGGCCATGGTAAATGAGTTTAAAATTTAGCACGCTAATGATACATAGGAGAGTGTTCATTTCAGGTACTTCTGGAAAGTTAATGTTTAACAGGATAATTATTTTCATGCAAACCACTTTAAGCCAGTTTAAACTTCTTAAGTAAATGGGCTGAACAGACCTGATTCAGCAGTATGATAATAAGAATGTTCTAAGCTTGGTTCCTTTGAGCTTTAGCCAATAGACCAAAGAAATTAAACACTGTTTTTTGTCAGAAACAGAATGGAAACTCGATGAGGAGTACATAAGTCATAAGATGAATTCTAGCAACATTCTAACAGCAACCATTTCTAAATGCTTTAAATTTTCCTGTGCTTATCTTTTCTTATGTCTAAGATCATTACATAGGGTCAGTGAATGACACCCACCCTCCTCTGTAGTGTAAGAGACAATATTTTTCAGTTATAATGAATTCTAAGCATTCCAGAAGATGAATTGATTCTTTTCCTTTTCATGTAACTGATTTTCTTATTTTACTGAACTCAGGGCTGTGTCTGGAAATGTATAATGGGACTACTGTTTGAAGACTAATTTTTACAGTGCATATAAATACATTTTTAATAACCTGAAAGCTTATAATCTGTTATACTGATGATGTTTGTGGTCTGTCACTTAGTTTTGACTTTGTCATGTGCAGCCATTTTCCTTACAATTTTAAATGTCAGATCTGCATCAAGCTGGGTTTTTTTGGTTTTGGGAGGGTTTTTTTAGGTGCCTGTTTGTCTTCTGGTTTTAGCATAGTAACATACTTCCACACATGGAAGTTTTTTTGTCTGTCATCAAAATGTTTCTGCTTTATCTGAGTCTCCTGAAAAATGCTTTCAGCAAAGGACTTCAGATCTGCTGGAAAGTAGATAGATCAGTCTCTGCAATCATTGAAGGAAGTGCTTGCATCTTAGAATCTGGTTTTATATTTTTTTTCTGAAGATGTGCCAGTCTCCTGGAAATAACTATATACTGTAAATGTATTGCCCCAAAATTATTACATCCCCAAAGTGTGTGGGATAAGTGATATATCATATCACTTATATCACATATAAAATCACATATATATTACATATAAAAGATTAGTCATTTACACTGTTGTCAGAATTCTAATGATTCAAGGCATTAAAGGAGGACAGAATTGTAGTTTTGAGTATATCAACACAAATATGGTTTTATTTGAATACCTGGTCTGTAGGATTGTCAGCTGAGATTATGTGCTGTGCATAGAATTGGAAAAAATGTAGTAAGAAGATACTGTTCATCCATGTTTTGCCTCCATCACAAGCTTTTCCATGGCTTGTGGAGGTGTTGGTCTAATTTAGACAATTTTTAGGGTGTATTTATGCTACAATAATCTCTCCAGTTGACTTGTGAGATGGAATTTTGCCTATATTCACTTCATACTCGTGGCCTTCATCTATGCAGCATTGTCTAGGGCTTGTAGTGTTTTGTTATAGCTGAAAACAACTTCACAACTGTCTGTGACAGTGTGTTCATATTGGAAACCCTACAACAAAGGAATTAGCTTTGCTGATGGCAGACTGTCAAATTTATCTATGGAAAGTGGCCAGATCTGATATAGAATTCTTGGTCTAGTTGTATATAATTTTATTTTAGGAACTTGCTTCTGATGGGAGAATAAAAATCTGTTTTCTTTCCTTTTGAAGATTTCTTATCTTATTTGTTATCATCTTCTTTTTCACTTACAAGGCAACCCTTGTTATATGCACAGAAATCTGTTGATTTTCTGCATCAAAAGCACAGTTATTTTGCTAAGTGCACCTTCTTACTGATAAGTTGTAGTATCTTTCAACAATCTAAAAAGCTTTTCCTTTGTGTGCTCTTCACACCTTTATCTTGATAAACATTACAACACCTTTTGACCTTTACTGGATTCATTCCTCTGATTAATTCCTCAACAAGACCTTTGTAAGATATATAACAATCTTTTCTATAGCAAACAGGAACTTATTTTAACTTAAAATGTAGATTGTGCACTTTTGTTTACATTTCGACATACATATTTATTGTCAAATTCTGTTCTTATATATTACAGGTGAGTGGCATTTAGGTTTTTGTCTTGTGTCTGTTTGAATTATGTAATACCTTTTTTCCACAATCTGATTACCTACCTTCTGTGTAGCCTGTTAATTCTTAGGTTATGGAGATATTATTAAAGCATAAAAAGGTAACCCAAATTGTTATATTTAATCTCTTAAGAGGCAAGAACTAATGTACAGTGTCCAGCTCAGTGTGTCCACAATGCCTGGCTGAATTTTAGTTGACTTACATTTTGAACTGAATGTGTAATAGGACATGTGGCAAATGCATTGTGTCCAAAAAATATAGGGTCCTAAATATAATAAAATTCCTCTTTTTTTGCTAATGGGTACTCTTGTTGTATTTTTTTTTTCCTTCTGTTACTGTGGTTCAGTTTTGTCCTAACTTCTATTTGATGAATCTCAGTTTACTGTTTGCTTTCTAGGTGAAATTCTATCTGGGAAACACCCTGTGAGGTGTTCATCTATGTAGCAGACTGCACTGTAGAAGAGGGATACTTCAGCTAACTCAAAAAAATCGTTCTTGCATTTGGGAGCAATCTGCTTCAGTAAGCCTTTTTTAGCAGGGCAAATTAGACCAGAGGAAGCTTCATGCTGCCTTCATTAGATTGTCCTATTATCTCAGTCAGCTTATTTAAAGTTAGTTTGGATATCTTTACCCAAAAATGGAGATAAATCAGTTGTTCCGGAAGTCTAGAGCAGCTTATTTTTGTAGTTTATGTGAATAAAATACTTCTGGAAACCACAAAATGTTCTGTGATTAAATTGCAAAACACTGTATTTTATCTTCTGCTTCACCATCGCTGCTGAAGTAGCTCTAATGTCTACCTGGAAAAGCTCAACAGATCATTGTTTGAGAGTGATAAAGAAAGGCAAAAGCAAATTAACCATTTTTCTTTTGAACTGATCCAGCTGATAAACATTGCTTTTGTCAAACGATCTCAGTTTTGCAAACTTCTAGCGTTGTTGGAAAGAAACAGTAATTATTCCTACAAGTGTGTCAGGCATGGACTTTTGTATTGTCATTAGACAGACATGCTAAAATGGAAGTATAATACTTATAGTTACATTGGAATTATTTTACTGCATGAAGTGTCTGCATTTAGAATATAATGTAGAAATTTTGAGTTATTGCAGTGTGTTGACCTTTACTGGCAGCTAAGCCCCCATCCAGTTGCTCACTCACTCTCCCCCAGTGGAATCCCCCCGTGGGATGGGGGTGAGAATTGGAAGGGCAAAGGTTACGAAAACTTGTGGGATGAGTTAAAGACTGTTTAATAAGTGAAGAAAAAAGAAAAAAAAGCCCAAGTGATGCAAAAGTAATTGCTCAGAAGCTCGCAGTAGCAGACCGATGCCCAGCCAGTCTCCGAGCAATGGCTACTTTCAAAAAACTCCTCTCTGCCCTCCCTGCCCCATTGTATTGCTGAGCGTGGCATTATATGTTATGGAATATCTCTTTGGATAATTCAGGTAAGTAGGTAAGTGGTCGTGGCTATGTCCACATCTGACCTCTTGCACTCCCCCAGCCTACTCACTCTGGGGGCACAGTGAGAAACACAGAATATCTTAATGCTGTGTGGACACTGTTCAGCAATAGCTAAAACCCTGGTGTGTTATCAACACTGTTTTGGTCACAAATGTAAAACAGCACCATACAAGCTACTATGAAGAAAATTAACTCCACCCCAACCAGACCCAGTGCAGCTATTAACAACTCTGTTTATATTCCTTAGGTGACTTCTATGGAAATCACACTCTTCTTGCCCAACACAGCCATATCCATATTGACGGAGGAATGTTTTCTGTTGACTTTGGTGGATTTCAGATCAGATCCATGTTGTCTGTGCTGATATATTTCAGTAAACAGAAAGATCTAATCAGACTGAATCACAACACAGTTCTGCATTGTGATATAAATAAGTCTGAAGCCATTTTAGGGGGCTTGGCACGTCTGCAACATCTGCATGGAGCTGGCAGATTTCCCAATGGACCTTGAGGAGTCCCGTATATGTTGGGAAGCCAAATTTCTTTGATAGTGTGTCAGCCCCTTGTTCTATTCCCAGCTAAGTGGAAATTATTCTTTCCTCACTATTTTCTCCTCATTTTCTTTCTTATTGCCCCTATAATCAGCACATGAAATGCTATACTGAAACTAGTGGTATTTCTGGTTTTTGATCATAGGTACTTGACAGAATTTTTTTCTCTTCAACATTTTCAATATACATACAGGATTATTTTAGTCTTTCATGATGATGGAAAATCTGTCTTAGGTATACTAATATCATGTTTCTTTTCATCCAGATGAGTCTTGTTACCAAGTTTTTTACTAGATTTCAGCAATAAGTCAAAAGATCTGTGGCTTTAATTTTTAATAATGACAGAAAGCATTTTGGTTTGCTTTGTGATTCCAAAGGGAGTTTACTGGTGGCCACAAATCATAACTTATTTCATTAACACTAGCATTCATTTGGTATTTTTTACAGATACAAACAGAGAAGTGTTTGCAAATTGGTACAGAAATTTCCCATGGCTTCAACAATGGAGATTACCAGCCTTTCAGCAGTAAATGATTTCTACTTTTGTATCCTTTATATTTCTTATTTTCTTTATAGTTCTTTGGACTTCATAACATGGAAATAACATCAGTTAAAGTAGTTAGCATTTCATCCTTTACTACTCTTTTTCTATTAGAGTAAAAATGCTGTATTTTTTGTGATATTGAACTTCAGCCTTGGACATAAATTTTTTAGGACTGTAAGATTTTTGGTGCTGCTCAGAGCTCATTAAATACAACACAGTCTTGATATCTAGTTATCTGTCTTTTTGTCTATCTATATGCTTTTGTTCCTTTAGATCAGTTTAACACAGACAACTGTACAGATATTGCACTTAGAGCTGGCAGCAACCGAGCATTGGAAGTTTTTGACCTCAATGCAGGCTGCAGCACAGCAGTGATACCAGAAATTCATACTAGATCAGTCCATCAGATCTGCCAAAATAAGGTATATACTTTATTGAATTTTGTTTGTAGCACCACTACAACTCCATCAACAAAGATATTGGAGGCTAAAAATATAATTAATAGCAATCGATAGAGTTTTTTGTGTGTTGGGGAGGATGGGCAAGGTCATAAGTCTGTGTGATAAAGGCACCCACATCTCATTTGTTCTCTAGTGGAAAGCAGGGAGCAGTGAAAATGACTGAACAAGCTTGCTATTACGGAAGTGTATGCTACCCTTTGCCTTACTTGCGCCAGACTGTAGTACTGTAGTTCAGCAGTAACTTTTCCTTATGTAACTGTTCTCCTCTAAAGTTGAATCTGAAGTCACCTGATTTATTCTGAAACTTCAGAAACAGCAACCAAAAAAAAAAAAAATTACTCAGGGCTGCAATAGAATAGATGGCTTAAAACCCCTCACCCTTGCTCTTTTTTTACTTGAAGGTTGATTTGAATGTTTGGAGGTCTTATGATACCATACATGCTGGAATGCCTACTGCGTTAGGTTTGGTTGAGTATGGTTCTTCATTCCCACTTGGAAATTCCTTGCTTCTGTGGGTTTAAAACAGTTCCTTATTACTACTGTTGTATAAATCTTTGTGGGTTTTCCTGAGAGATGTGATCTGGTAAAACACTTAAAATCGTGCTAACTATTTCAGTACTATTTGTAACACATATAGGCTTAAAATTCTGGCTTTTCTTTTTGCTTGGTCAGCTTAGTGGCTTCAGGTTATTTAATCAAGAAAAACTTTAAAGCTGTGGGCAAGTATTCACTTGGGAAAAAACCTAGAGGTATGTGGTATAGCAAAGAAAATTGACCATTTTTGGGGAAAATTATAGATCAAGGTTCTCTATTTTTTCAGTTATGTAAAATTAATGCTTTAGATAAGTCAATAGGAAAATAGAACATCAACTATTTTGTTACAGATGTATAGTCTAAAGCTGTTAAAAGTTCATATAACTCTGCTTTTACATTAAGATAATAAGCTAAAATATTTTATAGACATAAAAATATGCAGAATGCTGTGTGTAAATTCCATCCTGTTTAAAGTGTGAAATGCATTGGAATCTAAGGTTAGCTAGTGATGAGGGGTGGTGCAATAGAAGCAAACCTGTGGGGTGAAACAGTTGATGCTGAAGATCCAGTGTCTACACAACAAAATTTATGAAGGCTTTTCTTTGGACTAGCCCTAGTCTCATCTTGTGGACTGAATGCTCGTTAGTGATTGCGATATATATATTCTTGAAGTGCATTTTCTGGTTTAGATTCATGCAAATCAGTTCCCATGTTCCAAGACTGCTTTGTGATGCTACCTGGACAGTAGTAAGTGGGGACGATCAGGAGATTTGTTCTTTACATGAAAAAGAAAAAAAGAAAATCTATTTAGAAGGTCTTGTAGAACACTAAGGAAGGTATGTTCTGATTAAGTGTGGGAGAAAGCTGTTAGCAAATTATTAAATACATAGGAAATTCTAGAAACATAGGTGAAGAGCATGACTTATTTCTGGTTTTGGATAGCAGCAGCTGTAAGCAAGTATACATAATTTGCAATGTAATGACTTTGATTTTAAATTGTTGTTCTGGTTTTAGCTGGGATAGAGTTAATTTTCTTCCTAGTAGCAGGCATAGTGCTGTGTTTTGGATTTAGTGTGAGAATAATGTTGATAACACACTGATGTTTTAGTTGTTGCTAAGTAGTTCTTACAGTCATCCAGGACTTTTCAGCTTCCCATGCGCTGCCAGGTGCACAAGAAACTGGGAGGGAGCACAGCCAGGACAGCTGACCCGAACTGGCCAAAGGGCTATTCCATACCATGTGACGTCATGCTCAGTATAGAAACTGGGGGGAGTTGTCTGGGGGGTAGTGATCGCTGCTTAGGGACTGGTTGGGCATCGGTTGGCAGGTAGTGAGCAATTGCATTGTGCAT